TCAGGATCTCCTCAGTTGCTAATAGCAATTCCCACCTTGGAGTTTACCAAGACTTATGGGTAGAAAAGCCACACTAAGTAATTTACTACACCGCATGCCGTAAAGATTACAGCCTTGGAACCCTATGGGGCAGTTCCACTCTTGTCCTGTAGGGTCGTTACGAGTTGGACTTGACTCACTGACACACAGTAGTGTCACCCAGACAGGAAGTGAGGCCTGCCTGGACCTGCTAGCCAGAAGAGAGGTGTTAATGATAAGTTAGCAGAGGTTACCCCAGGTGCATTTGCAGGGAGGGAGGGCTGAAAATGTTAATTTTTCTATAAAGTTTGGAACTTTTAGCGCCAGCAGTTGTAACAACTGTAATGAAACCCAGGGAACTCTGGTGGGGCTGTGGTTAAAGCACTGGGCTGCTAACCAAAAGGTCGATGGTTCGAACCCACCAGCCGCTTAGCGGGAGAAAGATGAGACAGTGAGCTTTGGTCAAGATTGACAGCCTTGGAAACCCTATGGGACAGTTCTACTCTGTCCTCAGAATCAACTTGATGGCACTGGGTTTTGGGTAATGAAACTGAACTCAAATATGACACCCTCCAACCTCTCCCCCTGGCTGACCCGCGTGTCCTCTCACTGCAGCCCCGAGGAGGCTGGGCGGTACCTGGAGACCTACAAGGCCTACGAGCAGAAGCCGGCGGATCTGCTGATGGAGCGGCTGGAGCAGAACTTTGTCTCCCGGGTGAGGCTGCCCACCTCCCGCCCAGGCACCTCATGTCCCTGCCGGGCCTCCCCCAGCTCCCGGGTGGTTGAGCTTTCATTCTGACCTCAGGTCACATCCATCTACCCCCCAGGCCTCTCCTGTCCTGAGACATCCCCAGCCTCACAAGCCACACTGCAGCCACAGGGCCCCCCCCCCGCTGTAGACCCTTTGGTGGCTCCCAGTGTGCCCGGCCAGAGCCCAGGCTTCCCGCTTCATGCTCTCCCAGCAGGAGCCTCCAGCCACTCAAACGGCGGCTCAACTACTAACTGAAAGGTTGGCGTTTTGAACCCACCCCGAGGTGCCTCGGAAGAAAGGCGTGGTGATCAGTCCTGGCAACTCCATGGAGCGGTTCTACTCTGCACACATGGGGTCGCCCGAGTCAGAATTGACTTGGTAGGAACTGTGTCTGTCCGGCCGGCCCCATTCTCCCCAGTGCCCTTGTAGCCTCGCACTGGTTACACCGTCCTTCTGTGCCTAACTTGCTCCTCCAAGCATCTGCCCATTCTGTACCCTCTGCCTGATTCCATCCCTAACCTCAGCTCAGAGGCCCCTTCCTCCAGGAAGTCTTCCCTGACCTCAGGCTGGTCCAGGTTTTCCCCTTTGGGTCCCACAGCCCCGTCGTCCCCTCTCCCAGCCCTGCCCACTCTGGGTCCTCACCGTCTGAGAACAAGTCTGTCTCCCCTACTGCACTGGGAGCTACTGGACGTCCCAGGGGGTGCTTGCTGAGTGAATTGTTGAGTCTGGGCTCCAGGACAGCGTCCTGGTGAGGAACCCTGCACTGATGCCTCTCCGGGGGGTCCTTCTGGAACACGCTAACGGGGCAGGGAGCTAGTCACTGTCAGGCCTTGTGTCAACAGCTCCTGTGTCCGAAGCTTTGGCTTCATTCTAGGCACGTTAGCTCAGCCACCTAGTTCACAGTCATTCAGTGAGAGCCTCCCTTCGAGGGGAGGAAGGGCCGTGAAGTGACTCACCCAGTGTCACACAGCCAGGAACTGGCAGGGTGGGGAACTGGACTGGGGCTGTCACACGAGGTGCACGTTAGCCACCACTGCGTAAGTTGTCAACACCCACTGTGGGCCAGCGGCCTTCTCAGCGCACGTCAGTGACGGCCACAGCAGCCCTGAGGAGGGTACTATTAGGACCCGTGATGGCTGCTGACCGGGAAGTTGGCGGTTTGAGGCCACCCAGGGGTGCCTCAGAACAGAGGCCTGGCAACCATGTCCCAAGAAATCAGCCACGAAGAATGTACGGAGCACGCGCAGTTCTGCTCCGATACATGTGGGGTTGCTGTGAGGCAGAACGGACTGGACGGCAGCTGGTTTGGTTACTTGCCCCAAAGCGGAGGCCCAGAGAGGTCAGCTTCCATGTTCCGCATGTTACAGGGAACAGGTGTGGGGCCTGGTTTTGAACCCAGGTCTGACCCCAAGGCCATCCTTCCCTCAGCAGAACCAGAACCTCCAGATCAATGACTTTTATCTCACCATGTGACCGACCCGTCAGCTGGGGTCCCTCTGTGATGACCGCTTTCAGTCAAGACAGGGGAACTCTACTGGGTGCCTTCTGCACACGGGGCAGCCTGGGGATCCGGCAGTGAGCCAGCCCTGGCCCCACGGGCTCCCTCTCCCCCCTTCCCTCTCCCACCTACCTCCCCCACCTCTCCAGGTGACCGAATGTCTGACCACCGTGAAATCAGTCAACAAAACAGACAGTCAGACCCTCCTGGCCACTTTTGGGGTAAGGAGCGACTCCCCTGCCTCCAGAGGTGTTTCTAGCCCCTGGCTTTTGCTAAGAAGCCCCCCACCCAGTTGCCTTCCACCTTCCCAGCTGGCCCCTAGTCTTAACAGGCCCTCCCTGCATCTTAGCGCCCCCCCCCCCATCAGCTGGGGCAGGACAGGGTCTGTGCTCACCTCTGACCCCTCATTCCCACCTCCCTCAGTCTCTGGAACAGCTCATTGCTGCATCGCGGGAAGACCTGGCCTTGTGCCCAGGCCTGGGGCCCCAGAAGGTAAGAGTGCTGGGGGGGTTAGGGTGCAAAGGGTCCCCAGAGCCCCAAGGTTCCAGAGTACCCTCCTACAGATGGGGAAAACTGAGGCCTGGGGCGCGAGGACAGCCCAGCCTCACACAGCCAGTCTGAGATGGACCCCAGGGGGCTCCTAACTGGCGGGGCAAAAAAACGGTGCCGAGGAACATTCCCACACTCCAGTGTGTCACACGAACATTCCCGCACTCCAGTGTGTCACACGAACATTCCCGCACTCCAGTGTGTCACACGAACATTCCCGCACTCCAGTGTGTCACACAAACGGCTCATTTAATGACTGGGCTCTTGTTTTTCTCCCTCCCACCCAGGCCCGGAGGCTGTTTGATGTCTTCCACGAGCCCTTCTTGAAAGTGCCCCGATGACCCCAGCTGTCTTAATAAAGCGTTTCCCCTCCCAGGCTGCTGCCGGGTGTGGCTGGGGCAGGCGCCGGGGCGGGCTTCGTCCTCTGGCTCTGGCCTTCCTCACAGGCCCAGGGCCACCTTCACCTCGTCGCTTGCTGTCGTCTGCGTCCCCAGAGGACACTACACGGGATCCTGCTGCAGGTCCTTCTTCCGCTTCCTCTCCCTCCCTCCCGTGGCCACCTCCCCAGGCTCCCAATTGGACTCTGGCATCTCCTCCTGGGGCCCCGTCCCTGGCCTCCCACCCTCCTGGTCTCGCTGAAGCTTCCTCCTCTTCGTGGCGGATGCCGCAGTCACCTGCGCCTCGGACTCCCCCGGACCTGGCAGCGCCGGCTCCGCCAGGGCCCCTGGGACATCAGCCCTCTCGGTCCCTGCCTCCGTCACCTTCTGCCTTCTCTCCTTCTTCTTCTTGGTGGATGCCGGAGCTGCCTGAGGCTGCGTGTCCGCCGGCCGCTCAGGCTCCGTCACCTCGTCGCATGGCTCCGTCATCACAATTAGCCCGTTGTCCTTTTTCCTCCTCTTTTTGGCGGACGCCTCAGCTGCCACAGTCAGAGGCTCGCCAGGCACCGGCAGTTCAGGCCCCATCGGCTCCCCACGGAGCTCCAGGCATCTCGTCTCTGGCTTCCCCGTCTCAATCCCCGCCTCCGGCCTCACTAGTTGCCCCTTTGCCTTCTTCCTCTTCTTCGTGGAGGGCGAAAGCATGGCTTCTCCTTGCAGCTCCACCCCCACCTGCGGCCGAGGCTCGGCTGTGCCCGCCTGCACCGGCCCCACCCCTGCCGTCCCCTTCTGCCTCGTCTTTGCGGCGGGGAGGACCATCTCTTCCAGAGGTTCGGTCAGTTCCGGCTTCACCATCTCTGCTTCTGGCTCTGCCATCCCCGTTTCTAGTTTGACCGCTTCTGCCTCTCTGAGTTGCCTCTTCTGCTTCTTGGTTGTGGAAGGTAATGGCGCTCCCAGGGCCTCCGGCGTGTCAGCTTCCGGCTCTTTCGCCAGCAGCCCCATCACCGCCACTTCTTGTTGCTGTTTCTTCTTCTTCTTCTTCCCCACATGCATCTCTGGGGACCCCAAAGCTGTGTCCACCTCCAGGGTCCCGTGCCCATTCACTGCCTCCTGAGGGACAGAGGCGTCCAACAGCTGCCTCCTCTTTTTCTTCTTCCCAGTGGCTGGTGTCTTCAGGGCCAACGCAGCCCCAGGCCCTGTGACTGGGAGGCTGCCTCCAAAGGCGGCGAACCGAGGCCTCAGACCAGGGGGGATCTGGGGTGGGGGACTGGATGGAATGGGCTGCAGAGGGGTCCCTGGCAGGGATTCTTGGAGACCCTCAAAGATCCTTATGCTGCCCTGGGGGGTCGGGGCACACGTCAGTCCACCATCTGTCTTGGCTGAGGGGGCCAGCAGGGTGGCTTCTACAGCCTGGGGATCCCTGCAGCTGAGGACTCGGTAACGACGTCGCTTCCCTGCCAACTTGCCCTTCACGATCTGGGAGCCAGAGAGAGGCACGACGCGTCCATTGAGGCTGCAGGGAGGAAGGAGAGAGCAGAGGCCTGGTCAGGTTCTACTGGTGGGGCAGGGAGGAGGCACAGACAAGCAGCATTCCTAGGCCCCTCGGGCACAGCCTCTAAACTCCAGCCCCAAGCTCAGCCTTCGGGGTGGGGAGTGTTCCCAGGAGGTAGCATGGGACCACTCACCAATCTGGGGCGAAGTCCGCAGGGGCTCGGATAAGCCACAGCTCCGTATCTGGGTCTGCCAGCGCCTCCAAGGAGACACGAGGGAGTTCTGAGGCTGGGGGCGTCGCAGCGAAGTTGGGGGGACAAGAGAACCGCGCAGCACCTGCCGAGGGGAGGAAGTAGAAGCTGCTGGCACTTTCCTACCCGTCTGATCTTCCAGACGAGGCTTCCTGCGGCCCACTGACCTCAACCTTTTGAGTATTCCAGGCCCCTACCTGGCTTCCCCTGCTTGTAAGCCCGGGGTGCCCCTATCTCCACCGATTCAGTCCCTGGGGGCGCCCTTCTCACTGGTACTGCTCCCAAGATCCCTCTCTCCGAAGCCACCCACCTCCCCAGTCCCGTCTGCGAGAGTGGCTCCTCTCCGCCCAAACTCTCCAGGATGCCCTTTGTCTCCTAGTTTGTCCGCCCCGCCTCACACCCTGTCAACTCGCCCCACAGCGGCTCACCATCAGACGCGGCTTCCGCCATGCCGGGACCCCTACGGCACGCAGATCAGGTGGTTAGACCCGCTAGAGCCCCGCCGCCGACCACGTGGAACCGAAGGGGCGGGGCCTTATCGGGAGCGTCCAAGTGGCGCTGCTCGTGAGGGGAGTCTCTCTGAGCCTGCTCGTTCTATGAGTAGAGCAGGACAATGTTTCCACCTATGCAGAACGGACAACCGAGGAAAATGTCTTTTCTTGAAAATCACCTCCCGAAAGTGGCTCAGTAACTTCTCAGCGGGAGTCCGAGCCTCACTCCTAGCGGGTCTCTCCCCACCGTCTCTCAGATGTGACTTGCCCCACCAGCGCCTTAAAGGAGCAGCTCTAGGGATAGGACTTAACTTTTAAAGAAACAAGATCGATTGGTCTGAATTCTTAAACAGGTAAGAGGCCTAGTTAGAGGATCTGTGCTTGTTAACAGTGTTAGAATCTCTATAGGAGAGACTGAGATGCCTCAGAAATTCAGGACTTGAGTGGGAGAGGTGGGAAAATGAAGGAATGGGAGTAATCTCTTCCGAGGGCGTTAAGTACCAGTCAAGGGCGGGGCCTCCAGGCTCGCGGGAGCGGGAAATGCTAGGGGAGGACCAGCCAGGGGGCGGAGCCTGGGATCTGGAGGCGGAGCCTCGGGACCTGCGGCCGGACACGCGTGGGGCGTGGAGGTTGAGGGGTGGGGCTTGTGGATCAAAGGAGACCGGTAGATGCCTTTGAGGATTAGTCTCGAACGTGGGGACATTCTCGACGGCTTTGAGGAAGGGAGTCCCGGCGCCCGTGTAAACAATACCACGTGGACGTGGACTTGGGGGAGACACTCACGCCCCTTCCCGCGGGGACTGCGCTGCGTGGGGCAGCGGGCGGAGCCGCGGGACGGTGGCTAGACAGGGTGACCCGACTGCATTCCTGGGCAGTGTGTCAGCACCGCTCCCCGCCCCCTCTGCTGAGATTTCGGATCCTCCTTTAGAATTGGGGCGCCCCCTCCTCCCTAGGGCGGGAGAGGATTCCTAGACAGGCGGGAGGATCAGGGGAGAGGATAGCGCTCCCTCTGCTCGGATCTCCAGACAGTTTCCGCGCGTGGGCGAGACGACGGGGCGCTGTCCCTGCTGGCTCCGGAACTACAACTCCCAGAAGACCCAAGGAAGGCGTAACAGACGTCCGCCGCGGAAGCTGCTGGGGGTTGTAGTCTCAGCTTCCCATTCTGGGAACTGTTGCTGGGCAATCCAACCTGCCCTTTTTAACCGACGGGGAGATTGATATTCAAAAGAATACTGATTTAGCTGGGCGCTTTTCTCGCCTTAGAGGCGGGGCATGGGAGCCTCCTCCAGCTTCTAACCTTCTACTCCTTTGGTGGCGTCCAAGCCTTCAGTCAGGAAGGATGGAACAGCCTGGCCCAGGGGTGGGGTAGGTTCGCGGGAACACTGCCCTCTGCTCCTGTGCCTACCTGGCCAAGTCGCTCTCGGCCTCTGGATCTTGCCCTTCCTATCTGTGAAATGGACTCCAGCTGAATCCGAATGAGACGTGTCAATCTGCGACCTGTCCCTCCGAGACTACAAGTCCCAAAATGCTCGAGGCGACCCCGGCTCCCCCTCCCCTCCCGGGCCCGCCTCCCTCCTGCCTGAATTACGTAGTCTAACCTGTTCCAGGCGCCCGCCCCGCCCCGTCCTCCGCTGCCAGCAGCCAGAGCCGGAGCCGGAGGGAGCCCCCCAGTGCCAGGATCTGCCTGGGATCCGTGAGTTCCACTCCCCTGGGGTCCAGCGGCTTGAGAGGAGCCAGACACTCGAGTCCCTGGGAGGACTGGGAAGGGACTCGGACTCCGGGTCCTGGGGCGGACTTGGGGGTACGCAGACGCCTGGGTCCCTGGAAGGCGAGAATTCGCACTCCTGGTTTACTGGGCGGAAGGAAGGGGCACTTGGACGGCTGAGTTAACAGAATGTTGGGCTCGGACTCCTTGGTCCCGGGGAGACGTTGGAGCTAGGATTCCCGAGTCCCAGGAATGAGGGGCGCTCGGAAATCTGAGAGCTGGAACAGAAGTGAGGTCTTGGATCCCTGAGCCTTGGGCAGAATTGGGAGGCGGGGAGTCCTGGCAGTCTGGGATGGGCGGCCATCCCTGCCCGCCTTCCAGCTACTTTCTCTGGGGAGTCTTTAGAGGTCTGATCGGAATTAGGGGCGAGGTAGGAATAGTGGAACCTGGGTGTCTACAGTACAGCGGGCCAAGGACCCGGGGTCTCTCTGAAGACGGTGTCCTGGCGCTCTCCTCCCGGCCCTGGGGTGCGGGCGGGGGGGGGCGAGGTAGCTCTCCGGCCTCCGCTGTGCTGCAGCGCGAACCCCAACATGTCATTAACCGGGGCGTCAGACCTGCCGAACCAGAGGACGGACCTCCGCCCCAGGGCGCCCCCTGGCGGGGGCGGGGGGCCTCCTATTGCCCCACGATGGGTGGGAAATAGCTGGGGTTTGCAGGGGGCGTTCTGGAACCCAGGGCAGAATTCCAGAACACAGAGTAGGATTCTGGGAGGCTTGTGTGGCGGGGCACTGGCACATTATCAGAGAGGAAAGGGTAAACCGAGTCTCAGAGCGGTCACACAGGAAGCAGAGTTGGGGGCCAGGATTTCAAATCCCCCTCTCTGACGCAAAGGGCTCCATCCACTCCCACCAGATTTTCTGACTAACCTTCTCCCTCCCAGGGCTCCTTGCCCTGACCCTGAGGTGAGAAATGTCACCTCCAGCCCCCTCTGGGTGACCTGAGCTAGCACGGGAGATAAGGGAGGGAGAGGGGCTAATTCTGGAAGTGTCTGCTTGTCCTTGAGGCTGGGGGAGGGCCTGGCCCGGCCCCTCCCTCTGTCGTCCCCCATCCCTCCACCCCCATCTGTGTGTCATGTAGGGGATTAAACAAGGGGGTGGGGGAGGCAGGAGGTTGGGATGAGAGCTGACAGAGTGCACTTCCTAGTGTCAGGGCCTGAAGGGCAGTTGGTGATAGTCCGAGATGGAATTAAAAATAATAACTGTGGCTGCCAAGCCAGGGCTCAGGGTGTGCCAAGCTCCGGGCTGGCATCAATGATCAGGGGGGTAGACAAGATGGGCCCTGTTGTCAGACATCTCGGGCACTTGCCCAGCCATCTCACTGCTGCTGAGGGAGCTTTGTCAACTCCAAGAACTACTGACTCCTCCCTGCTCCAGTGGGGAAACTCAGACCGGAGAGCAGACGCAGCCCGCAGCCCACAGCCCGGACTTCTGCTTCCCTCTCTCTGGAATCTTCAAGGACTCCCCCAGCCCTTGTCCCTAAGTTATTGGGGTCGATGACTGGCCAGAACTCAGGAAGACTGGGGAATTAGTGCTACTGACATCCCAGGGCTCAAGGAGGGGAGACCTAGGGGGTCAAACTCAGGACTTTTAGAATCTCAGAAAAAGTTGAAGGGGCTCTTTTCGGGAGAAAAATCAACACTTTGGGTCTTCAGCCCTCTTGATGTATCAGATCCTGTGTCAGCTTCATGGGCAGGCGAGGAGGACAGGTCATTAATCTTCTCTGTGTAGTCACTATGAGTCGGAATCAACTGGAAGGCAGTGGGGTTTGGTAGCGCAGTGGTTAGGCTCTCTGCTGCTGACCAAAATGTCAGTGGTTTGAATCCACCAGCCAGTCCAAGGAAAACAGATGTGCAGTCGGTTTTTGCAAAGATTGACAGCTTTTGAAACTCTATGGGGCAGTTCTACTCTGTCTTACAGGATCGCTGTGAGTCGGAATCAACCTGACAACGCTTTTTTTTTTTTTTTTTTTTTAATGTGTGAGCTTTATTTCACCCCTTGCATCATTCAAACCCAGTATGTAAATTAGGTCACACAGACTTCATGGCCCTTTGAGATGAAGATAGTAATCCCTTCGTAATACTCAGGAGGAGACCGAGGCACAGAGAAGCCAAACAACTAGCCTAAGGTGGAGGACGAGAGAGGAAAAGGCCTTTGTTCCACACACGCTGAAAACAAGTCCCACAGAGGGCGGGGCCGCTGGGCCCCAGTAGAGCTGTGGGATTCTCAGGGTTCCCAGCCCTGCCTGGCGCTCTGGCCTGGTTCCTGCTGAGGATGACTCCTCCAGGAAGACCTCGGGAACCTTAACCCCAAAGAACCTGGCTAGGGTGCAGGAGAGACAGCGAAGGAGTGGTAGAGGTGGAAGGGAGGGGCAGCCAGGGGAGGGGGAGAGTGTGGAGAGGTGGGGGGGGAACCTGGGTGTGGCAGGGAGCCGACCGACCGGAGAGGGAGCTGGAGCTGGACAGGGACCCTGGGAGGAGACCCAGGGCTGGAGAGCTGGGGTAGGGGCCTGCGAGCAGAGGCGTAGCCCGCGCCGCCCCCGCGCCCCGCCCGGCCCCCGCTTCCCAGCCGCCGGGACGGTGCCGCACCTGCCCGGGCCCGCCGTGCATTCCGGGGACCTGAGCTCAGGCGCCGGCCGTCCTCCTGGGTGGGGTCGGGTGGTGGTGACCCGGGGGCGCCCCCTGGCGGCCCCAACACCCCCTCCCTCGGTGCGCACGAGCCCCTGCAACGGCCCCACGCCCAGGGCTGGCATTTCCTAAGCCAAGGGATGTCAGGCTGGAATCTCACAATGTTAAACTTTTGAGAAGCTTGAAATCCCCCAAGAACCCGTCTCTGCAGGAATGTTGCTGGCACCGGAGGCCGCCATAGACTTGTTCATTTTTATAGTTTAACAGGCACAGAGTGCTTCCTGCGTACCTCCTGGGAATCCAAAAGCCCCGAGTTTTGATTGTTGTCACATCTTTCTGAGGCATCAGTTCTCAGAACCTTGAGTTCCTCCTTCACCTTCCACCCAGTTCGATCCTCACAAAAGTCCTGTGAGGTGGACTGTTTTTATCCTCATTGTACTGTATCAGGAAACTGAAGCAGGAAGGTTAAGCCTCTTGCTAGGATGGAAAGGTGGCAGGGCCAGATTCGAACTTTTGGAGTTTGACTTACCCACTGCACTCGACCACACACCCACCTAGACTGTGTGGACAGCGGCATCCTGGGATAGACAGAAAATGGAATAGAAAATGGTGCACAAGGACTAGGACTCTGGAATACCCAAGTCAGAGGATTCGAGAATGTTCCAGAGATGGAATCTTGGGCTCTGAACTTTCCAAGAATAGAATCTCAAGTCCCATGGACTTCCAGAGGAACTGACAAATCTGTCCTGGAAGAAGTGCAGCTGGAATGCTCCTTGGAAGTGAAAACAGACAGACTTCGTCTCACCCACTTTGGTCATGTTGTCAGAAGGGACCATTCCCTGGAGAAGGATATCGTACTTGGTAAAGTGGAGGGTCAACGAAAAAGGGGAAAGCCCTCAATGAGATGGACTGACACAGTGGCTGCAATGATGGGCTCAGGTATACCAAGGATTATGGGGCTGGCACAGGACTGGGCAGTGTTTTGTTCTATTGTACATAGATAGGGTTGCTACGAGTCAGAGCTGACTTGGTGGCACCTAACCACAACAACAACAGAACTTGAACTAGGCATCGCTGGGTGATGCAAATGGTTTGAACTGATACTTAATCTAAGCATTGGAGGTTTGAACTTACCTGGCTATGCCATGGAAGAAAAGGCTGGTTGGTGATCTTCCTTAACTACGGCCAAGAAAAGCCTGTGGAACAGTTCTACCCCATAACACGTGCGGTTGCTGTGAGTCGGAACTTGGTTTGTGGGGCTTGATAATCACAGTCTCCAGGTTCTTACAGTTTCAGACTCGGGACTTCACAGAGTTTGAAAGAGTCTCTGAAAAGAGCTGGTTTGCCGCCTCCTTTCTCTGGTGGGGAAACTGAGGCCTGAGGAGTGGAGGGGACTCCTAGCCCAAGGTCACACACTCCCAACACACCCAGAGGACCCGCCAGCCCCAACAGGATCTGTTCCTGCGGCTTCCCAGACAGAGGCCGGTACCGGCATGCCCCAGCCCGCCCTGCTGCCCACGCCTGTATCACCAAAGCTAAGCGGTCGGTGCAGCGGGAGGTGGTGGGGCTGCTGGGCGTGGTGACTAGAATGAGGATGGCACTGGCCTGGCCCCCTCCCACTGGGCTGGTGACCACAGACACCCATCCACCCTGGCCACTCCCTGTTCCTCTTACTGTCGGTTAGTGTGAGTCAGGCCTCCCCTGGGCAGGGATACTGCGGGAGGAAGCTGGCCAGTCCCTGCTCTCCAGGGCCACCCCAGTCTGGTGGCGATGACCCAGAATAACAACTAAGAGCTGGGTGTGAAGCCCAGTACTAGGTACTTCTTAATGGGTGACCTGGAACCTGTTTCTAGGACTCAATTGCCTTTAAGGAGGTTTTAGGAATCTCTGAGTGGTGCAAACCGTTGACACACTTGGCTGGTAACCAAAAGCCTGGAGGTTCAGGTCACCCAGAAAAGCCTGGCGATCACGTCCCAAAACATCAGCCCCTGGGAACCCTGTGGAGCACAGTTCTACTCGGACACATTGGGAACGGGCATCATTTGGAATTGACTCAACAGCAGCTGTTCTTTTAAGGTGGTTCTGACCATTGAATGAAGTATTGAGTGCAAAGCACTTAGTTAGCACAGTTCTAGAAGGCAGTGGGCCCTTAAGGAATGATGGTTGTTTTAATTACCTGGTACCCTAAGCAACTGGCATATCCCAGCACACAGTAGGCAGCTTAATTCTTATTTTAAAAATACCCCCAGCATCAAGCCAGCTTCTGGTCCAAAGTAGGCATTCAATAATTGATACCTTTTACTTTTATGAAAGACATATGATGATGATGATGATGATGATGATGATGAAAGGCATCATATTGCACTGGGCAGATCTTTAAATGGACCTCTTTAAAGTGTGAAAGAGTACAGACCTGACTTTGAAGACCAAGATTCGCCTGACCCAAGTGATAGTATTATCAGTCACCTCATGTGCATGTGAAAGCTGGACAATGAATAAGGAAGCCCAAAGAAAAGTTGATGCCTTTGAATTGTGTTGGTGAAAAATACTGAAGATACCATGGACTGTCAGAAGAACGAACAAATCTGTCCTGGAAGAAGTGCAGCCGGAATGCTCCTTGGAGGTGAAAACAGTCAGACTTCGTCTCACCTGCTTTGGTCATGTTGTCAGAAGGGACCATTCCCTGGAGAAGGATATCATGCTTGGTAAAGTGGAGGGTCAACGAAAAAGGGGAAGGCCCTCAACGAGATGGACTGACACAGTGGCTGCAACGATGGGCTCAGGTACAACAAGGACTGTGTCTGGCACAGGACCAGCCAGTGTTTCTTTCTGTTGTACTTGGGGTTGTTATGGGTCAGAGCCAACTCGACAGCACCTAACAACAACGACATTATTACATCCTAGGTTCACTGTGAGGAGCCTTGGTGGCTAACCGAAAGGTTGAAGGTTCAAACCCACTCAGCCACTTCTTGGAAAAAAGAACTTGGTGATCTGCTCCCATAAAGATTACAGCCTAAAAAACCTTATGAAGGCAGTTGTACTCTGTCACACGAGGTCACGATGATTCGAAATTGACTCAAGGCATCTAACAAAAACAACAGTTTCGAGTATAATATAAACTCATTGCTGTTGAGTCAGTTCTGACTCATAGTGACCTCCATTGGGTTTCCAAGGCTGTACATCTTTATGGAAGCAGACTGCCTCATCTTTCTTCTGTGGAGCAGCTGGTGGGTTTGAACCACTGAGCTTTTGATTAGCAGCCAAATGCCTTAACCACTACACCAACCAGAGCTCTTTCGACTATAATGCAACTGACTGACTGACTGCCATCAAGTTGACTCCAACTCATAGCGACCCCTATTGGTTTTTAGAGGCAGTAAATCTTTACACTGAAGTAGATTACCCAGTCTTCCTTCTGAGGAGTGGCTGGTGGGTTTGAACTGCTAAAATGCTTTAGGCATTATACCACCAGAGCCCCTTTGACTATAATATAACCAAAAAACCAAACTCACTGCTGTGGAGTCGGATCCTACTCATAATGACCTCTCCTTAGTTGCCCAGGTGGTATCACCACGGAAGTAGATTGCCCAGGCTTCCTTCTGTGGAGTGGCTGGTGGGTTTGAACCGCCAGCCTTCTGTTCAGCAGTCAAATGCTTTAGGATTTATCTACAGCCTAAAGCCTAGACTATAATATGTTGTTGTCAATGTGAGACTATAATATAGTAGGTGGCAATCGACAGGTAATTGTTGAAGGAGTGATGTAAGACTTATTAGAACTGAGATAAAGAGATGGGCAGGAGGCAAGTAAAGAGGGAATTGTTTGGCGCCTTCTAGGAGGAGCTGGGACTTCTAGGTGGCGTGTGAACTGCGCTTTGAAGAAGTCAGCATTTCCTGGCTGGGAAAGCAGAAGGGCCAGGCGCTTCCAGTGGACGGAACAAGGGGCGTAAAGACGCTGGCTGGCCGGCTTCTCACCGCCCCAGGTTCCTTGCGGGCAGGGTCTGGACGGGCGGGGTCTGAGGACGCTCCTCCCCCTGCAGGCGTCCCGCTCCAGCCGGCACCATGGACAGCGAGGCATTCCAGGGCGCCCGGGACCTTCTGGACTTGAACTTCCAATGTGAGCTGGGTTAGGGGGCGGTGCTTTCTGGGCCAGGGCTTTCGGGGGCGCAGGGGCGGGGCCCTGCCAGGAGGCCCACTCTTACCACTCCCACTCGCCCCCAGCGCTGGCCATGAAGCACATGGACTTGAAGCAGATGGAGCTGGACACGGCGGCGGCCAAAGTAGACGAGCTGACCAAACAGCTGGAGTCGCTGTGGTCCGACTCGCCAGCGCTTCCTGGGCCCCAGGCCGGAGCCCCGTCTAGGGTGAGTCGGTCCACCTTGGGCCCCACCATGGCCTCCAAAGCCAGTTTCTCCCCACACCTTTGACTAGAGGCCTGGCTTTCAAGCAAAGCGGTCACATGTGGTTATGCAGGTTGTGGACTTTGCAGACACTTGAAAGGACCAGGATACCAGAAAGCAAGCAGCCTTTTCCTGGGCTGCACAAAAGCACCTCGATTCAGATTTCAGGGCTTTCTTCAACTGGGCTCTGATTCCCGTGGGTTGAACTTCGGTGACCTTATTTTAACCCTCTACCTATCCCCCCCTATGTCTCCTTGTGCCCTTCCATGGCCCGGCCTTCCCACAGCTGCCCCGGTACAGCTCCAGCCCGGTCCCCGAGTCCTTGAGCAGCCGCGGATCCCCCCGGAGGGCGCCCACCGACAGCGCAGACACCTCTTTCGGACGTTCCGAGAGCGCCCCTTCCCTGCTCCCCTACAGTCAGCTGTCCCCGAAGGGTCGGCCGTCGTCGCCCCGCACCCCGCTCTACCTGCAGCCAGACGCCTACAGCAGCCTGGACCGCGCGCCCTCGCCCCGGCAGCGCGCCTTTGAAGGCGCAGGTGGCTCTCTGGGCCGCGCGCCCTCTCCGCGTCCCGGGACGGGCCCGCTGCGCCAGCAGGGTCCCCCCACGCCCTTCGACTTCCTGGGCCGCGCCGGCTCCCCGCGTGGCAGCCCCCTGGCCGACGGGCCCCAGGCCTTCTTCCCCGAGCGCGGGCCCTCGCCGCGCCCCTCTGTCGCCTCCTACGACGCGACGGCGGCCTTCGGGAGCCCCCTGCTGGGCGCCAGCGGCAGCGCCTTCGCACCGCCCCTGCGAGCTCAAGGTAAGCTTGGGGCTCGGACGCCGGGAGCCGCGGGCAGGATGCGGGCCTGGGGCCAGCTCCGCCCGCGCCCTCACTCGGAACCTCTCCCCAGACGACCTGACGCTGCGCCGGCGGCCCCCTAAGGCCTGGAACGAGTCGGACCTGGACGTGGCATACGAGAAGAAGTCTTCGCAGACCACGAATTATGACCGTGCGTGCAGACGGGTCGGCGGGGAGGGCGGGAGGCGAGGCGCCCCTGGCCCCGCCCCCTGACCCTAAGGACCCCTGTCTGCAGGCCTGGATGTTTTCCAGAGGCCTGCCTCGCCTGGCCTGCAGCTGTTGCCCTGGAGAGAGAGTAGCTTGGATGGGCTAGGGGCCGCTGGCAAGGTGAGGGGCCCGGAAGCTGGGACTTGGGGGATGGGTATAGGGAGGTCAAGGCCAGTCCCCCCCTCCTGGCTCTCCCAGGCTTTGTTTCCTTGCCCTCGGCCCTCTAACTTGCCTTGACTTATTTTTTCCTCTCTACCTCTCTCCTCTCTCATCCATCCCTTGCTCCCGCTCCCGTCTTCCTCCCACCTGAGTCTCTTCCCTTTTTCTCTCCCCTCAGGACAATCTCACCAGCGCCACCTTGCCCCGGAATTACAAAGTGTCCCTTCTGGCCAACGACAGGCGCTCTGATGTGGGCAGCTTCCGGCGTTCGCTGGGCTCCGCAGGACCAGCAGGCACTTTGCCACGCAACTGGCAGCCTGTCAGCCGCATCCCCATGCCCCCTTCCAGCCCCCAGCCCCGCAGTGCACCCCGCCAGCGCCCCATTCCACTCAGCATGATATTCAAGCTGCAGAATGCCTTCTGGGAGTATGGGGCCGGCAGGGCCTCACTCCCTGGCTCCCCCATGTTTGCCCGGGCGCCTCCACCTAAGCTGCCCCCCCAGCCCCAGCCTCCCCCTCAGTCCCAGCCTCTCCCCCAGCCCCAAATGCACCCCCAGCCCCATCCACAACCCCAGCCCCAACCCCAA